TAAAGATTTATCACCTCAGAAACCCAATAGGGGTCACTTTGAGTCAGAATTGACTTAATGGCAGTGAGTTTGGTTTTTCTAGCTTTAGTTTTAGGCTATGGGTTATTGTGAAGACTTAAAGAGTTAATACATGTGTATTCATTTAAGTACTCAATCCCTGGCACAGAGTAAGTATCAGCAAATGTTAGTTATTAAGTGCTAAATAAATGATAGTAAAGTCATAGAATTATAATCATAAACTCCTCCAAGGTCAAGCTTTGTTAGTTGCAGTCTGCATTCAGTCCTGTTTCCTTGAGCTGATCCATAAAGCACCTTGGCTTACCACACTGTATTGTAAAAGTCTATTTGTGATTCTGTGTCTTCCCCTCATTCCCAACACCTCCATTCCCTCCGCTCCAATCCCTGCTTTTGGCTAAAAGGAGGTGAAGTCTGTGAAGATAAAGTCTTTTCAGTAAAGTCTATGAGAACTTTTAATCTCAATCACATTTGTACCAATGTGGATAAAGAATAAATGTATACTCACGTCCCTGGGATGTGGGACATTTTTGACACTCCTCAATCACACATTCACAGATTATCACTTGCTTTGTTGTTTCTGCAGATACCAATACTGTCTCGTACACTTTGTAGTGTCCTGAGTTTGTTTGAGATGATACTCTAACTTCAGCTTTTTTGCAGGGAGCGGTGCTTGCCTTCACGTCCTCATTTCAAAATCTGGCTTTGATCTCTTTGTCAGATGGTCACTTTCTATGGCTCGTCATTACTGAATAGCTCGGTGCCTCCTGGAGAACCACTGGAAATTAAAGGTGCCAAGAAGCCTGGTCTTGTTACCAAAAATGGACTTGTTCTCTTTGGTAACGATGGAAAAGCAGTGAGTGTTCAATATAGTCAACCTATAAAATCACTTTTTTGGTTACCTTCTACAACGCAAGCAATATAATGAGGGAATCAGACTTTGCTGTGGGTGTGAGACGGTGATGCTGTTTGGGTCCCATTTCTCTCTGGGATGACATGGTTCTATGTGCCTCAGTGAGGGGAAGCTTTAGCTCCTTAGCATCAGCACCAAGGGCCAGCAAGTCAACTTGGTAATATAGGAGAAGGAGTTCGAGATTCAGCCAAGAGAAGGTTTGAATCCCTCTGTCATCTACTGGCTGTGGTCTTGAGAAGGATGCTCCTTCCCTCTGAGTCTTAATTTTTCCCTCCACAAAAGAGAGAAAGTGACCTCATCGCCCTGCCTTCCCACCGCCAGGGGCTGGAAGGGTCAAGTGAGATCATGGATGTGGCCCCTTTCAGATTTACCTACACTATCTGTGCATGGGAGCCTTGGGTCTGGGCTCAGTGGGCTACTGGGCAGCTTCCCAAGTGGAGAGCACAAAAGAGAATTTCAATCTTACAGCTGCAGGATAGCTCAGTCATTAAGATGAAAGGTTTTGTTGTTCATCTAGTACTTGGTTCCAAACCCAGCTTTGTCTCTTTGTAGCTGTGTGTCATTCACACATTCTTAGGTCCCTGGAATCCGAATGAGAATGCTATCACTTTAAAATCCAAAATGGCCACCACTTGTAAACATTCAAAATGGCTGCACCCTCAGACACTTTAAATATCTGTTCACAAACGACCTAACTTTATTGAACCCCCATTTTCTCATCAGTAAAATGGAAATAATAAGGTACTAGCTCCATCAGGACTTTTGAGGTTAACGCACTGTGCATGGTACAGAGCAAGGGTTCAGATGATTGCTGCTATTATCATCATCTTCAGCCGAAATACCTAAATCCAGCTCTCAGTTTTTCATGGGCTTTATCTATTTTAAGATGTGTCCACTACTAGACTTAACTTTCTGCTGCCATTATTAAAATGCCATGCTATTGCTTTTATA